TAATAGTGGCTGGGAATCTTGATATCCATGAAACCTCTGGCTTTAGCCGGACTAAACACGGGATAGAGTACGGGAATTGTTCGCCAATCGGAGAAAAAGAGTCCTTGCTGGTAATGTGCATGTGGAAGAGTGCAGAAGTCGAGGTTTGCCGAGCTCGAAGACAGGAAATGGAAATCACTACCTGGACGTTGCGTTCCGGACATATAGTCAATAGGTTGGGCAGAGAAAACGTTCTTGGTCGATGCGTACAGACGGCGTGCGGGGGACCTAGGTTCACATGTTCGCCGCATAGCTTCCCATACGTTGCCGTCGCCTCGCCAGTCTGGGATGAATTCTCCGCCAAGCATGCTTTCGACGCCAGCTGAAGGGAAATAATGTCAGATTGATCGAACGTGAGACAGTGTGTTCACTCGCCTGTCGAGTCTTGGTTCGTGAGATTTGTGTATTTCCTGTGCTCCCATGGTACGGTAACGCGACCCTCAGCATTGGCATTGACCGGGAAATCCATGTCAGGCAACTAGCGTGACCTAAATGAGTTAGTGCCATCGCAGATGTAGAATGCACGCACAGTATGGACGAATTTCTCCATCATCCTATGCAATCCCTGAGCTCTGGCGCTGACATCGCTATTCTCGTGACCCCTGTTTAGATTGAGTAGAGTCGCCTTGCCGTTCCGTACTCTGACAAGGTCGATTGATGGAAGTTCGGCAGCCTGGGTATCCGTCGTCAGTAAAGTTTTTCGGGTCGTTGTTCGCGTACCTGTCGGGACCGTCGACGAAGCTCCTGTCCCGGCATACTCCAAAACGGTTCAAGGTCCTCCATCAACCCGTCGTACTCGTCTACCATGATTACGTCGTTGTCCTTGGCGAAGCGCCACCAGGCATCGAAGCCCTTTGGCGGTGGGCGGTGGTACCGTCGTTTATACTCTGTAACTGCATCCTCCAGCGTCTGGCTCTGTCGTGTCACCTTGGCCCTATACTGTTCTTCGGCTGCCTCTATCAGCTTGGGTATCGGATGGGTATTGATGGTCGCCACAGAGGTTGTTTCTCCCGAGAGAACCGATTTTGGGATATCCAATTCAGCATGACTTCTGCTTTCTGCCCAGAGGCCGGCCTGCAGGAAGACAATAAAGACGAAAGCCAGAAAGAAATAGCCGCTATGCCGCGCCCATTGCGCTTCAGGACGGTCACCGAGTCGCATCGTCCTCGTCGACGACGGATATAAAAAGCGGGAAATGCGGTCGAGGGCGGCCTTATCGGAAGGGTATTTGTTGCTATTTGCTTCCGCAGGTGTGGGCTCTGGTATACCACCGAATGTGGTAATATAGGTGATCAGGAATTGGGATGTGCAAATTTTTGGGTGAATGATTTTCTGTAGCTCTCACCTGGGTTCCGTTTCCTTAGAAATTTATGGGATATCTTCTTAAGTAGACCGCAATGCCATGATATATTTTCTTAGAGAATGCATTGAAAAGAGCAAATCTCGGGCGACGGCCGAGGTGCACGCTGCAGGTGTCAAAACATCGCTTTATGCAAAAATCCGTGACAGTCAGTATCATGGTGAATTTGAAAGTCCGGCGTGGTCGGCAGCTGCGCTGTGACGGAAGTCACGCGCTTCGGATCGCTTGGCGCCGAAAGACGGCAGAGCGGACATTCAAGCTGTCGCATTCTGTAACTCTGTAATTCCTGCTACATTAGTAGGTCTTATAGCGGAATCGTGGTTTCTGAATTCTGAATTATAGCCGAAGCCCGATATCAATAAAATTCCTATCTTCGGAAATTTCTCTGGGCGTAATACGTAGAAATTGCCAGAAAAGTAAGATATTCGGTGTGGCGATGACTTAGCTTGTCACTATCTAAATGTGACCATCCGTTACTCTCACGCTCGCCATGGAATTGATCGGCCGAAGCTTCGTCTGCCTGGGATTCTGTGAAAAAATGTGAGCTGGTGGCGGTCTTAGCCGCCACCGAGCGAATCTTTTTCGAATAGCGCATGCTGAGGACTGCAGTACTGCCAGTTTGAGGTTTGACATTTGACCCATGATCACTGAACTGAAAATTCTGTGTGCAAACTGTAAATTTGAGTTTACTCAGTGCGGATTGCAGAACTGAAGTACATTCAGAGCCTTAGCCAGGTAACAAACATACTTTGAAGGCCGGAGTAAACGTAGCAGGCTCTGCCCCTGATGTTGGCCTTTGCAAGCGTTATCAATGTACGCTGTACCATTTCGACCGTTAATTCACATAACGCGTAACGGAGCCTCGTGAAATGAAGCTCCCGGTATTTAGTAACGCGTAACAAGCCTTCCTCAGAGGTAGTATGCACTTAAAATGGTAAATTTGGGGGTCCAACTTGCGCCGGATATACTAACTTTACCTCATGTCCCGGTGAATGAATCTCTAGTCATTTGGCCATACAGCATAACGCGTAATACCCCATGAAGCTACGGTCGAAATAGTATAATACCTCTCGTTTTTGTGCATCCCTCAAGTTGCCCTCAAGCGATAGGTATAATTTTTCCTTTCGAATTCATAAGATGCTTTTTGTTCACACTTCAAAGTCATTCTGAGGTTGTCGAGTGACGTACTAATGTGAAACTGAAGGTAGCAGGTCCTCCCAAAGGCCAATTACGGTCAGTTTGGAGTCTGACTCGCACGGCTTCCTCTCAGTCTACAAAGAAAATTCCTCCGCCGCATTAGTTATACGCTCAGGAAAAAAATTTGAAGCTAAGGGCTGGCTATTGCTGAAAACTGACATTCGTGTCGCGTGCGCGTGATCACTCACCCACAGTACATTCGGAAATCGCCGGTCTCTGATCGATCCGATCTTTCTTTCTTGAACTTTGTCACTACGCTACGGCGTCCGCTAGAGAAGCGGGTACTTCCAGGCATGGCTTTCCCTTGAGAAAGCAAACCGTTTCCCAGCGGCTACCAGTACTCTCAGACGTGATTTTTGCCACTTTATCACTGAGAAATCAGTAATCCCCGTTCCAAGCTGAAGGAAGTGATTACTGACATCTTTGTCTTTTGTATTCAGGACACCAGCTACGTGCTCTCCTCCGACATACCTACTTTTCAACGGAAGTTCCCGCAGTAAAGATCTTCCGGGACGGAGTTAGCGGGCTCGGTCAAATGTTCACTCTTCTTTTAGAAATGTAAATCACCCAGCCATGTTTCGCTGAGTATGATATTTCCCCCCCACCGAATTTCCCTCCCAACCTCGCTTGTTGACGGGCCGAGACACACAACCTCCGTGGCCCCTGATGATAGTCCGACAAGACCGAAATACTTCCACAAGAACCCAGCTACTCGACTCGGAAATCACGATAAGAAATTAATTTCATCTAATGAAACGTTCACATCCTTTTACCCATGTCTTCAAAACTCTTTCAGCCTGTTAATGTCGGTAGTATGACGCTCAGCCATCGGATCGTGATGGCACCCTTGACACGATACAGAGCCACCCAGAAGACCCGTGTTCCACATGTCTCTGTGGTAAAGGAATATTACTCCCAGCGTGCAAGCGACCCCGGAACGCTCCTTATCTCAGAGGCAGTATGGATTGCGCAGAAGGCGGTCGGCAGAGACTACAATCCTGGCGTATGGAGTCGAGAACAGCTTAGTGCATGGAAAGAAGTACCTGCCCTGTTTTATCTTGCAATGATCACTTCGAAACTGATACACCGCCTACGCAGATAACAGACGCAGTCCACGCCAAGGGAAGCTTCATTTTCTGTCAAATCTGGTCTCTCGGACGCGCGGCGGACATTACTTCACTACGAGAGGAGGACTCGCCGCTTCCGTATACCGCGCCGTCGCCAATACGGCTTACAGGGAAGGAAGAGACTCCAAGAGAACTTACCGTCGAGGAGATCCGAGAATACGTACAAATGTACGCTGAAGGCGCGTTCAAGGCTGTATTCGAGGGCGGATTTGACGGCGTAGAGATTCACGGCGCAAATGGTTACCAGATTGACCAGTTCATACAGGATGTGTCTAACCAGAGGACGGACGAGTACGGGGGGAGCATCGAGAATAGGGTCAGGTTCGCTCTAGAGGTAATAGACGCCGTAGTGGAGGCCGTAGGAGCGGAGCGGACTGGCTTTCGAGTGAGCCCTTGGGCTCCGTTTCAAGGCAAGCACCCCTTGTTTCACGAGCAGTCAAATCGTTTCCTACCTACCTCTATCCAGACATGGGCATGGAAAACCCGGTTCCGACATTCTCTCATTTGATTTTGAAAATCAAAGAAAGGCATCCGAACTTGGCGTACATCCACGTTGTCGAGCCTAGAATCAGTGGTCCGTTCACCCGGGACGTGGTGCCGCCAGGCGAATCAAATGATTTCATCAGAGAGATTTGGGCTCCCAGGCCGCTTATTTCAGCAGGGGCGTACACGAGGGAGAGTGCTATGGCTACTGCAGATACGAAAGGTGATATTATTGCCTTTGGACGATACTTTATTTCAAATGTGCGTTGACCGGGTACGACAAATATGTCGGTTCATTAACTTTATCCTTTAGCCCGACATCACTCTGAGGTTGAAGCACAGAATCCCTTTATCCCCCTACGACAGGCCCACTTTCTACATTCGTGGCGATACCAGTGGAAGGGGTTACACTGACTATGCAGTCGCCGTTGCGCAATAGTGTAGACGAACTATGTATACTTGCGGGCAGTCTCAATGCACAAAGGTACAAATATATATTACATAGTATTTTTGCCCCTCCTCTCAGCCGTTAAGGATTGGTAAAGTACGAAACACATTTTCGTGTCAATTCCTAACCATCTGACCATCGAATTAAAGAGTACATAGTACCGGGTTGGATCACTTCCCTCAAGTCCCAGAACCTATTATCCCATTATTCAGACGTCTCGTTATCTATTCAACACCGCCATTGTTTTTAACTCCCAAGATTCGAAATACATGTTATAACTTCCAACGGACTTAACCGGTGTACAGCATTTGAATCTATTAAAAGAGGTGGTAGGTGATAAAACAATTGCATTAAGGGGGAATTGAACCCCCGGCGGGTCGACATACAGCGACATACACATGGCAACGACCCAGGTTACCACTACCCCATTAATGCCAACATAAGATTTTCGATTGTTGCATATAATAATCACTTAGCATCAATGATTGATATACCAACATCTTCGCAGCCTCTGCATCGCACACAACACACGAATCTACAATGGAACATAAAAGAAATGACACAAATCGAAGTAACAAAAACCACGCACCCGAATCGTCTCCCTCCATTTCTTCAGCTTCAACACATACATCGGCTTCGGATCACTGAACGATAGCATATCCTTTTCCCTCAACCACGGCCACTGCTCCACGGGGTCGTGCCCACTCGAACTCCGAGGCGGAACCCAATGGGCCGGGAAAGACTCCATCGAGGACATTTCCTAGATGAAGCGAAGGTAGGTAGCCGAGGTAAACTCTGCCAGCGCATTCTGACAGACAACCACCCACCGGAGCGAAACTCTTCATATGCGAATACGGGCCATACCAGCTTGGCCCAGCCGCGGACTATTTGAGGAGGAGTGAGACCTGATTGAGTGCTTTCAAGGATCATCAAACGCACTTCATTCGCGTAGATATAACCTGCCGACCCGCTGTAAGGATGATTCATGATCTGGAGGCAAGAGAGTGCTTGACCTCCGAGTTCAACGTAGGACCCAGAACTAAATAGCCCTAGGGCAGTGTCGTACTGAAAAGAGCGAGGCTATAAAAACTCGAACTGTTGTGACACTTGGTGGGAGCGAAGAAGTTCATCGTGAGAGGCATCACCAGCTGATATCTTGGGACCCGGAGTGACCATTATACATACTATGCAATGAGGCTTGGACGACCCTGCCATTACATCAGATTGTCCGTCGGGGTAAACAGATGGTTTCCATAAATCTTCCGATAAAGATCAGCGTTGATACAAATAATACAACTGGCTGAATCGTCATCGTAAATCCACAATCTCCAGCGACATACCCTCTTTCATCTGAACATGTCCTTTGTCGGCGTCCTGGCGACATACGTCAATCATGAGGGCCAGAATCCGCAGAATGGACACATACGGTATATATAGGTTGATCCGGATGCGGATGAAATGCTTCTTTAGCAGTGCAGGTCAAAATCGTCTGCAGACCCGGTGGATCCGTAAGGCGAAAGATGCCAAAGCTGTAATGATGAGACGATGAGCACCCAGTCTACCATTCCAGTAGCAGAAGACGCACTTGGGGTTATGTCTGGGTGCGCAGACGACAGCAAAGGATTCAGGAAGCATACGTTGAAACCCAGAGTGGGTATGCAAGTCGACAGAAGACATAAAGCCTATTCAGAATGATTAGCGACAGTGGCTGGATGTAAACAGCTAAAAACATACAAGTTTGTGTGGGGTGTGTGTGAATCTATCAGAATCTTATCAGCGGATGCCTTCAGAAAGACATAAATGGCAACAACGCTCACCCATCCGAGAGTAATCAGGTTCCTCTCCTCAGTAAACCGCAACACCAGCTCCTCTTCGTCCATTGTACACGTGTCACTCGTCGAATGCTGCTTCGGTATCAACAGCGTCGTAACAACAAATTTGTGGCCCTTGTCCTTCCCGAGCAACAGTCCACAGGTTTCTCGATTTATCATCGTGTTGACTTTGGCAATCGCTATGAAACGCGGTAGACACTCGCGGGGCATATTCACGTGTTTGAGCTCCCGCGAAGACGAGCTTGGCCGTGGTATTCGATCCGAGTCAGACCGGGAAAGGTGAGGACGCGAACTGTGATGGTGGTGGTGACCATGGCGTTGAGCAGGATTTGGATAATCGACTGGTGGAGGCGGCTGGACTGAAGAGTGAGGGAAAAAATTGGGGGGGTATAGTGGTTGAGACCTGTGTGGGTATCCTTGCTCGAAGAGGATTGAGGAAGTGACGGCGGGAGTTTTAGTGGAGGAGAACATGGAGTTGAGGGAAGGTGAGTATCCTTGCGTCTTTTGGTGTTGGGTCATAAGCTGCGGGTACTGTATTGGGCCTCCGTTGACGGGTGCCGGTGAAGTCGTGGTAATCGGTGGGGGATATAAGGGTCTAGCCAAACACGTTCAAGGTCACGAAAAGGGAAATAGGTGCTGAAATACATACCGAGAAGGGGCCGCCCTGGTGGGCGTGCGGTTGTTATCGAGAAACGGTTGGTGTTTCTGCCTCGCGCGACGATATGACGATGATTGCTGCGGTGCCTCAGAGTCCGTTGAATCGCCCTCGTACCGAGTCGGACTTTCAAGGGGCATCATCCGGGGTTCATTATTCATATTCAATTGAGAGAAGTCCGCCGCAAGATCGGAGGTCCGCGATGGGCCTGCGGGTGGGGCAGACGATGAAGCTAACCGGGTTGTTGGAAACGGTGGGTAACTGGAAGGTGGTGGCATAGGAGGAAGCTGAGGAAGCTGCTGGTATAATGTTGCAGTATTCTGCGCTGATCCGGAAGATGCGGGAAATCGGGCAGTTGGCTGTGCAATTGGCTGGGACGATGAAGAAACATTGAAGATCTGATTCGACATCGACGGAATGGGCATGGCCATAGGTGGTGGTGCGCCCATGGCTTCACGCATGGTCATCGACGAAGGCGGTAGCGCCGGGGGAGGCGGAACAAACGTTGCAGCATTATTCTCTGCAATCCTTCTCCGTTCATTCTGCGCGTTCCTCTCCGCCTGCTGCTGTCGCTGCACCATCTCCTGCACCTGTTTCTGTCTCTTTTCCTCGTTTCGCTGCGCGATTTGCTCGGACCGGAGTCGCATCTCCTCTTGCTGCTGCCTGCGCTTTTCCTCCTGGTTATTAGCCTGTGAGCTCGTTCCGTTTGCTGCTGGGGGTGCGACGCCTGCAGCCTGACGTGCCACATCCATGACTGCAGCGGTCCGCCTATCAGAGTAGCTGCTTGGCGCCCCGGCGGCTGCGCGTTCCTCCGCTATCAGTCGATTGATGTCCTCAGTTTGCTTTCTCCACATAGCTTCTTCATCGCGCCACTGACGTTGTTGTTCTTGCGGTAAGTTTATACGCGGAGCGTCGGTCCGTCCTTGTGAATTATTCATTTGGCGACTAAGTGATGTCGGAGTTGGGGTATAACCCCCATCCGGTTGTTGCATTGCACCGCCATACTTACGATCCCATTCTTCCCGTTGTTTTAGTAGTTTCTCTTTGACCCCCGCAAGAGCGGCAAGAATACGTTCACCGTTCTAAGAAAGTAATCAAATTAGAACACTGTTATAATGAAATAAATCAAGCGCCCGTAACCTGGGGAACTTTGCCTAAGAAAACGAGCATGCGCACTCACTTTCGCCAAAGACGACTTCTGCTCTTCGCTGAGTGCCTTGTCGTAATCAGGGTGAGACGCAATGACCTCCAATGCGAGTTTTCCGGCACTGGCATAAGCGACGAATGCATTTTGGAGGTCCTGCTGCTCCTCGTAGCTCTGGCCTCGGTTGCGCCAGTTATCTGCAGTCTTCAATAAAGACTTGATAGGTATCCGGTTGTCCTGGGACACGACGGCGCGCGCTGCAAGGTCGTCAATTGTCGGCGGTCGTGGTGGACAGCCTCCTGGTGGCGGGTAACGAGGTGACGTTGAAGACATGGCACGTCAGATTAAGTGTCCTCTAAGGGAAGCAAAGGGAGAAATATAGAAACGGTGGGCGGTAATGATAGTGGTACAAGAATAAGGGTAGCTCCCTTCTTCCGTTTCGAAGGCTGCGCTGGTCCTCGGCATCACGTGATCGACAGTTCCGGGCCATTAGGGGCTATCTTCCCTACAAGGTTTGCTTCAACAAGCTGTTTCCAAGTTTCAACGGAATTTATGTAAGTCGTTTCTGCATGTCGATTCGCGAAAAACGGAGGTTCATTATTGCCTCGTGTTCGATATTTGCGCCCTCAAACTCCGGCGCCAAAGCCTTGGAATATCAATTCATTGATAACATCTCTACCCCGGATTTCCATGACGAATACGCATGTGCCCTGAACGGCTCGCCCTGATGCGTTGAAGGGGCGGTACCGAGCGAGCTATGCTGAATGAGAATGGGTACTACGAAAACAGAATAGTAGAATAAAACTCGTCGTGAAGGTTCTGAATTTTGACATTGTTTATTGTGATCACTGGCGGGGTATGAGACGCGGAAAAGGGGGACGGTCACACAGACTCACCGTGCCGTCGATCGTGTACTCGGTCAAAAACGTGGCCAGAAGGTTGAGGGGGTATCCATGCGGATACATTGCGCTTTGAGGGAAACAGATCCCAACAAGCCTCTTACAGCCCATCGCGATGAACACAGCAATCTTTCATTTCGGTCACTAGGTGGTATCATACCCGTATTACGCAAGTCGTCAGATTACCGTGGGCCCTGACATCGGATAAAGAGCTGCAAATGCCGGTTATTCAGCTTAAATTCCACACGAAAGACACCGTTTCTCCGGTCAATAAAAAATTTCTGGTACGAGCATGGAGTGGCGTGCCAGCCCGTTGGTAGAGTTTTTTTTCTGAACCAAGATCAACAGCATGTGGGTAGAAGAGGACGTCCGCGCTCCAAACTGTAACTGGTTCGAGATAGCCCCCAGAAAACTTCCGAGAGAAGGGTATCAGGATACACGAATTAACGGTACCATATGAAAGGACACGCGTCGTCCATGTGTTGCCAAAGTTATTATTCTTCCCCAGAGTTTGGTAAGTAAGACTGCCAGTAGGCCGGAAAGATAACTGATGAGGCTCAGACTCGGAGCATGTCCCAGTGGCACAAATTGTGAATCGTGCGGCACGATTCACGTGGATAGAAATGGCGGTCCAGTATTTGTATCCTTAGCCGCTACCGCGGTAACGAATGGTACAGGATATCCAGGTCCCACTAAAACGCAGACGGTGGTACTGACGGAGTCATAGTGCACAGCGTAGGCTCGGCCCGATCCTTCCGTTTTTTTGTCGGGCACTCAAAATCAAACTTTATCCCAGTCGCTCAACCCGGCCCACTGGCAACCTCGAGTATCAGTACTTCGAAAACCCAACTTACCATCTTCGTCACTTGATAAATATCTGAGGACGCAGCATAAGCTGTTTCATGGTAGGGACATTCTTTGACTACGACCGCTATCATGCCAGTGTCTAATGGTAACAGGTATTTTTACCAGATCACGGACTTAGTGCACGATAGGGGATGCCTCGTTTATTGCCAGCTTTGGGCTCTTGCGCGCAGCTAACTATGTGAAGCAGTGTGGGAAGAAGATCTATCAGCCTCCCCACTTTCAGGCTGGGAGAAGTCGACCCGTTCCGTGACTATTGATGAGATCCACGATTACATTCAGATATACACTCAAACCGCAGCAGATGTGTTCGGCTTTGACGGCGCAGAGGTCGACACAGCTGCAAGATACAGGCCAGTAAGGTGGGATCGTGGCGAATAGAACTCGCTTTGGTCTCAGTTTGAACTTCCACGATATAGAACCGCGAATTGAATACGCGTAGTTCTGAAGATGTTATCTTCAATATTTTTTAACGATCGCGATGTACTTCGTGCGACTCGGATCTGATCTCCAAGACCACACAATACCACGGGAGCCTTCACAGGGGGGATCACAAACCACCGGGAGCGCAAAGCTATAGTAACAGTTCAGGTACAAGATCCGGCTTCTCCGTCTGTAAAAAATAATCACGAATCAAAATCTAGCACCAGTCTTTTTGCTTGAGCAATGCCCTTCGCCGTCGCCATATCGCTGGAGTACGCCATCTCGCCGACGACATTCTCCCTTCACGTCTTCTCAGCAACAATCTCATCTGAACCACGCGCTTCCACTCATCTCCACGTTCCAATACGTCCACACAACTCCGCACCGGCTCGTACGCATACTCCCCAATTTCATCATCATTAACAAGGACGACGTTCACATCAAAGTTTGCACACATGAGCGAGATTCTTGCAGACCTTTTCTGCACAGGCAGCGTCTGCGGAAGCCCCAAAAGGGAGTGGTATACCTTCCAGATCCTGAGGCTCCCGTAGTTTGAAGGCTCTCTGCCGGCGAGGCGTCCGTATCATAATGGAGTCATCATGAGGTCGCCACTCCGCTAGTCCGCGCACACTTGAAGGGAGCTGAAGAAGATAGAACGACGAAACCGAGCTCATCAGCCGATTCCGCAGCTGCGGAAAGCGGTTGAAAAGGTGGTAGGTTGCGCCTACGACAAAGCAGGGATGAACGGGCGATGTGACCTTGAGGAGCGGCAGCGTGGAGGGGTGATGTTTTGATAGTAAGATTGAGGAATCGGGGTAAAGGATGCTCACGGAGCGAGTCAACGTTGTAGGAAATAATGTATATGTGTAATCTTGCGGTGGAAGAACCTAGCGTAAGACAGAATAGGCTTGGTAAAAGGGAATGTCACATATGGCCTTACGTTTGTGAACGTCCTGCGAACGGCAGGACAGCATTCCTGGTTGTACTCCTGGAGGTCATATGCGCTGAACAGTCTCATCTGTCGGAGTAAGTGTCCATTCCTCGTTTTCCAAAAGCTGCTTCATATCCGCGCGTACTGACGGTAAGTCACATAAGGTCCAAATTCACAGAGAAGAACGAACAACTTACATCGGACGCGATTTAGGTGAGATTCCTGTTCGATGTCACCTCGAGAAAGACCCCAGTAGAACTCCATTTTGTATATCTTGGCAAATTAACATTTGAGATGATACCCGGGCAAGAATGTGGGCCACTGACCTCTTTAGGGCGTAGAGTAAAATAATAGTCTTCTAACCCAAGGAGAAAGTCAGCAGAGTCAGCCGTAGTGAGACACCCTAGTGGAACGTAATTATTGAGTTCCATGGTTGCCTCAGATCTTGCCGGTCGTGGTGACAAGCTTGAGCCTGGCAGTCAGGAAGTCTGAAAATAAGTACGTTATAGTAACCAACATCTGCTTCTAAGTAAAAGGCGCAGAAAAGTCTCGTGATCTACGCAGCTTCGAACGAAAGGTGACCAGTGCCACTGGTCTGTGAAAAGAGCCCATGAAACGAGGTTGAGTAAATCTCTCGATGCCGTCCAGGTGCACGATATGTAATGATAAAGCCACAGTACGATTGCATGGGAGGCCTGAAACCTCAGTCTAGGAATACAAGAACAATTTCAAGGCGAATGCTTGTTACTAACTGCAACACGATGCTGTCATCCTAAAGCAAGTTCCTGTCTCTCTCGTCTGTGTCAACGTAGCAGCTGTGTGATCCATATGCTGTCGTTGTAGAGCATAACTTGGGTATGGAACTAGTACAGAAGTACTTGAGCAGTACTTGGAACCAAAATTTTCATACCAAATTCGGAGATCTTAACTGTTAGTACCTTGGTGGAACGACTCATATATTGGGCTCTTAGCATAGTTGGTAGCGCGCACGCTTTGCATATATATTTATCTGCGTGAGGTCGTGGGTTCAAATCCCACAGTGTCCAATAAATGAAACTTCTGTCACGTGTTTTTTTATAAACTTAACTCTTGAAACTTGTAACATTCTTCATCTATGTTTGGAGTAGGGCTGCGCACGTAACCCCCAAGGGGGGAAGTACTATACCGTTTTTTACTGGGCCCCCCAAGAGGGGGGTTCCAGTACGGTTACTTACCGCTTCTTACCTGTCACGTACAAATATCACATGATTGGCGTGCAGTAATTTCGCATTTTCAAAAAATTTCATCCAGAATCTTAATCTTCGCGCTTTTTCTGCATTTCTCCCCTCCCTTGAGCTACAATTCAGTACATAGTATTACAGAACAAACTTGCACTTCGTCAACATAAAACTGTCTTAGTAGAGCTGAATATGACAATAATTTTGCTTGCTCCTACATCATCACATGACAGGTAAGTTACCTCGACTAAAAACCCCTCCAGAGGGGGGAGGTAAAGTACCAGTAACTAACCGGTAACTTACCGGTCCGAAACCCCGGTGTATCAAAACCTAGGGTTTCGTGCGTAACCCTAGCTTGGAGTTCGCTGAGCTCAGGGGTCAGGCCTTCAGGACTCAGCGCTCCTTCAATCCCACGAGTCATTGTTGAGCCTAAGTAGCGAGCGCTCATTAATTATTGCCCAATTCACTCATGAAGATAAAGGACGAGGATAGCATATGTATTCTCCAGGAAGTTCATTTGATTTCGTTACCAATCTCTTCTCAGGTGGTGTAGTTTACTCCAATGGGTTATGGTCCTCTTTTCTCCCTCCGTGAAGGAGGCACATTTTAAATCACGAGCCCTGCTGGAGATGTCTTCCTCATCGATGAGATCGACTACGGCTGGCCTGCATCACACCTTTTATTGAGACTGTTACTTGAAAAAGTAGTACGACATCTTACTAGGTCTGCCTCTTCGATTCTGAACAGTGAAGATATCCAAAACAGTAGATACCTGTTCAGCGTCGACTTTCTGCGGCTAGGGGTAACATTCAAAGTGCACTAGAACCTGAGGTCATCGTAATGATTGCTACGGACTTCGTCACGGTTTCTTGGGAGTCAAGTAAAGCGTGTCGGTGACAAGTTTACCCCGATAAGGAGTGATGTTTGTTGATGATACCCTGATGATAATGGCAAAAAACACGGGCTCCGAAAGTACTGCTAATAAGTTGCGATAGTTAAATTTGAAGTCATTCGTATTGAAACTTTCATATTACACAGATGGTTAGCAGATATCTGACGAAAAGGTAAAGAGTCAAAATGAGTGGTCTCTGCTGAGTGCTCCTGGATATTATCCTTCCTGGTCGTGGAGTAGTTCGAAGCATATTCATTTCTGAGATAATAGACTCTACTAGGAACAAAGAAAAGTGGCAGATTTTGATGTATAATCGATCAACAGGCCACCCCAAACAATCCAGCCAAGCTGACCATTGCGCTTGAAGTTTTCTGTAAGAGGTGTCAGTACACGTGTCATGCGTACCATGAGCAGAGGAACGTGGCACTCACTCCAGCAGCTCTCTGGTTTATCCAACTCTACAGTATTGAATTGCCAAATGAGATGTGTCGCAGTTCCACAGACCGAAAAGACAAAGTAACCCCAATCTTGTCGATTCAGGTACCCTGCAACAGAAAGCATAGCGATAAAGATCATAGCACACCCGACGAGCATGGGCCGGATCCAGGTTCCGAAGAGAATAGCGGTGGAAAGCACGCCTGTTTTTACGTCGTCGATGATATCTTGACAAGCATATATGGTGTCTGTAAAATGTGATGAAATTCAGCATATAGTGCCGTCCAGACGGAGTCGGCTGACCGTATAACATTGTCCAACTAATAGACACTTGTGAGCGACGTCGCCACGTACGACGAATGAAGAGAAGCGTACCACCAACAAGCAGCGAGGGCACAGCAGAGAATGTCGTAATTAAACGTGTTCGCGGTTGACACATATGCGGTTACGAACCCAAAGTTCATGGCAAACCCCAGCCACGCTTGCGGCCAGTATGTTACTCGTTTGAGGAGAGGATATATCGCAAATCTGCAAGGAGCGGAGCGAAAATATTTAGGCTCCAGCATGATTGCAGATAGGCTGCCCTCTTACAGTGGGAGAAGCTGAAACAGGGCCGCGTAGAAACTACAAATAAAGTTAGAATTAATAATTGAAAAGCATAAACCGGTAACTGACGCTAGACCATCAATCGTGAGATAGAAGAATAGAATTCCCAGCGCGTATTGTACCAGAAGGAAGACGGTCGCTGCGAGGACGGTGATGCGTCCACTTGGAAGCGGTCTGTTCTTCGTTCGCTCTGGAAGTGGAACTATGAGATCCTTTCAAGTAGACGTGCGCGGAAGAATCGACCAACCGACACCGGCATCCACATTCATATCAAATATATCGTTGACGGTGCAAGCTGAGCTACGTATTATAAACGCTCCGACGAAACATTCAATCAGCTTGTATGCATAGGAATGTAGCGCAATCGCTGGGGCCATTGAGTATGACGCCATAGGTCAAACCCCAAGCTAAAATATTTCGTCTCAGTCAACGTCACCGAAGGACTTGAATCACGTACCCAAAGGCCAGAACATTAATATCGTACCCGTGGGCTATGAACAAATAAGATGAGTAACTCCTGACTTGCAGTCCCGATAAAGATAAAACCAACCTTGTCGAGACGAATCAACTCCATATATGGGTGATATTTCTCTGGAAGCAATGTTCAGAGGAAAATTCAGATTATGCCTGACTGGCGAAGCATGATGGGTGGGGAGCTTTTCATGAATTAGGAAGAAGGGACGTGGTCTCACTGCTCATCGCGTCAAGGAACAGGAGGCAGGTTTACAAGTTATACAGAGAGCTTGAGTTGGCGGGGCGAGAATACCGGGTCGAAGCAGTTTATATACCGTTGGAACAAGGAAAGAATCGAGCCATCCCATAAATATCGGACTCTCCTCTGACCCGAATCGAGCTGCGTTAATCTAGCACGAAAGGAACAAAATCCTGTGTCGTTATCGGTACCCCTCCCGTGGCTCTAGGACGCTCATGGGTCGGAACTGGGATGGCTTCAGCTGAAGGTTACCTTTGCCCAGCCAAGATTCGACCTGTCAGACTTTGAGTTTCAACTCCAATCAATAACCGAAGAAACGGTGCAAACGTTATCCGCCACCGTCTGTATACTAAGGTGCTCTAGATATCGCAAAAGGGTAGACTTGCGATGGAGAGAAACTTTAGTAGGCGCAGGATCAAGGTCTTTGCTGACCTTGCCGCCAGTAAAGACGTTCCCTGAGAAATAGTATTATGCTCGCGCCTCGGACCATCCTTATCCAGAAGTCAGTTCAGCGTATTCATTCAGAATGGGGCCGACGGTTATCTCCGTAACTGTTAACAATCGTTCTCGCAGAAGCTCGTTAGTGCAATCCGCATCCTATGAGGGTCCACAAGCCCGTCCTAGCTCGGGTTCCTGGGAGAATACGAGATTTTTCTATGGCATGCAACGGAAGACAAACGGCGGCAACAGGATTGACATTCAGGGTATGCAGTCCAGTGCCCGATCCCCATTACCACCGGAGCCGAGGGCGAATGTTCAGTTCGGTACGAGGTCTGGAATGGGCGTGTTTACTTGCTGAGCATCCAGAAGACAACAAGGGACATGAGGTAGTCATGCTCCTGCGGATATCAAAGTCGACTTCAAGTCAGAAGCGAATGAGAGATGGACAGGAGATAGGTCGCCGTCTGCAAGGAGCTGCGCGATATGTAGTCCACATCAATCGGACTCGAAGTCCGTTTCGCTCGGTCAGCCTACTCGAGCTCATGTAATCTTTGGACGAAGATGCACAATGATCCAGAGACCCATCGCAGATCGTGCTCTGCACACGACATGGAAATAAGGATACAAGCAGGGATCCAAAAGACACTCATGTTCAGACTTCATACAGTCTGAAAGATATTTTTGAATGTGTCCAGACGACGGACTGTCATGACGGCCTACATGAGAATCCAGGACTGCAATGTCTTGTCGGCAGGATCATCTATAGAATCTATTCTGACAACGAGTCCGATATGAACTACGTCCAGCGGGATCTTCGGCCTTGCTGAATGAAGTCGAGAATATCAAACAGATCCGCCAGGCCTGAATTGCAGGTCGCGCACCAGTTCCGTTAGCCGAAAAAGCAGTGGATCAAATTTAATGATAGACCATGCAGTAGATTACAGGACCTGTGCACTTCTATCAGTTTCGCTATTATTCAAGCGCTATCCTGATACTAAAACTCACGGTGAAATAAATAAATAACCATGGAACCGAAGGGACGTAAAAGCGATTACTTTTCATCACCAAAATACTCCTCAACCAAGACCTTCTTCCGTAGGTCAAGAAGTACCGCGTCCATCTCCGTTCGTGTGGGCATCTTGGGGGGCATGAGGTTTTCGGCAGTCAAGAAAGATATGTATGATGCTGCTGCATGAGCGCTGGCATAAGCCTGGTCCGCCGACGGCTCTAGACGTGACGGCGGAGGCATGCTGACTGCAGTCTTCGAACGCTTTAAATCTTCCGTTTCCGAACCTTCCTCGTCGGCATCACCATCCTTGACCTTACGTTTACCGGTTTGCGTTGCTGATGAGCGCGACGGGGCCACTGAGGCGTCGGAAACGTCCGGGCGAGGAAATTTTGGTATGGGATCGTCATTTGGAAGACCCAAGGCTTCTCTAAGAGTTGTATACGCTTCTTCCCATTCTATAGGTTGACCGAATGAGCAAGTGAAGGTAAAAAAAGAGCATTCATGGACTTACCATCCCCTTCCGCTTGCCGCTCAATTTCTAGCAATTTTCCATCTGCTTCGTCTGTATCACCATAGTATGCTGGACCTTGCCCTAGGAACTTTTTGTAGAACGCCAAGGTCAGATTCTCCTCTTCCTCCTCATTCTTTCGGCTCTGGAAAAGTTCTCGAACACCTGGTAGCTCCTTCGCTCGACCAAAATACCTAAAAGCACGTTAGAAGAAATTATGCTATCC